TCGAGACCAAGTCTTGCAAGGCAAGACAATTCCGTTATGTATGTTCATTGATTTAAAATGGAAGCTTCTAGTGGAATTAGTCCTAGAAATCCCAACAAGCATGATGTTGATGATGACCCATATCAAAATGTTCACACTGAATCACTCGACCATAGCATTCGATCTGATCATCAGTTTCATTCCACCAGTGCATTGGAAATTCTAAGAGAAACTGTTCGAATTCTTCGATACAATTTGATTGGATTCATGGGTATTGCAGCTTTCCTTGTATGTCCTGTATCAACTGTTCTTTTATCCAATGTGTTAGTTGATCAATCCATTGTCAAGAGACTCACTATAAGGCTTTTGTTAGTGGCCAAGTCCAGTGGACTTCCTCTTAGGCCTTTTATCAAACAATCTTGCCAAAAGTTTTCAGAGATGGTCATTTCATCAACAATGTGCTTCCCTTTGTATATCACATTGTCTCTCTTGTCGAAAGCCGCGATCGTTTACTCGGTGGATTGTACTTATTCAAGAAAGAAATTTGATGTGTCCAAGTTCTATGTAATTGTTACTAAGATTTGGAGGCGTCTCGTTTCGACATATTTGTGGGTGTGTATGGTGATTACTGGTTGCCTTACACTGTTTCTTGTTCTTCTGGTTGCTGTGAGCAGCTTATTTTCGATAATTGGGTTTGGTTCTGATTTAATTGTTTATCTCGCGATGATAGCAGGGCTTGTGTTCTCAGTCATTTTCGCAAATGCTATCATAATTTGTAACATTGCTATTGTAATCTCTGTATTGGAGGATGTTTCAGGCCCTCTGGCATTGTTGAGTTATAGTCTCCTAACTTAGAACGGCTAACATCAAGTTATAAGCGGAGGTTGTCTTGGGAGGTCGGGGCAAGTTCTGAGGTTATAGTCTTGCGAGTCTTGACTTAAGCGGAGCATGTCTTGAGAGGTTGTCTTGGGAAGTCGGGACAAGTTCCCAAGTTATAGTCTCCTAACTCGGAACAAGTTCTGAGGTTATAGTCTTGCGAGTCCTGACTTAAGCGGAGCATGTCTTGGGAGGTTGTCTTGGGAAGTCGGGGCAAGTTCCCAAGTTATAGTCTCCTATCTCGGAACGGGCAACAGGACACCTTGGTGATCTCTGCAAGGGGCGCTGCCCTGGACCTGCGGGAGAGTGGAAGGATTTTCCTGTAACAAAAGAAAAAAAAAGAGTTAACTTTTTGATAGGAACAAGAGTTTACCAAATCAATTAATTATATATAACTTTATGTTTGGCCGGCCGGCACTTTTTGTGGCCGGCCGACCATATATTTTGGTCAAATTGTATTTTTTGCCAGCCGACCACTGTTCATCTGCTTTTGTAGATATTTTTGTGCCAGTTATCACAGCTGGCACCCACCTTTGCTCCCCTCCATACACGTGTATGAGGGGGATTTCAACCTTGTTAGCTTGCCTTGGAAGCTTTACAAAGTTGAATCTTCTATAAGAGGAAGCCTTTTCTCCCTCTTTGGGGGAGAGAACATTTTTCCAGAGCTTTGAGTTCTAGGGTTAGGGTTTGCATATCCTCCATCTCTATATCTCTCTTTCTCTTGTGTATTAGTGTGTGTTTTGTCTTACTTTTGCACATAAACACCTAATCTTACACCTTTTCTTGGTTGCTGAGGGGCCAGAGGTCTCTTCTTAGTATTCTTAAATTTAAGAGCATTGTTATTGAAGATAAAAAAAAAATTATATATAATTTTCAAATTCAGTGATGTGACAATTAATTAAGATATTAAATGTGACACTCTCTTTCATATTTTTTTCTAATCATTAATCAATCATATCACTTACACATTATTAAATCTAAAAATAGACTTATCATTTTTCTTTATTTAATTTTACTGGTCACCACTAGGACACAATTTAGGATATATGAGCATTGATTTCATCTAGATGAATACTTGTTGCACCAATGAAAGTTCATACATGTTGTAATGGTTTTGTTTGATTGATTTTAAAACAACTGAGCTCTTAGGTTGGGCCTACATATATTAGGTTCCTAATTCTTGGATAAGTTTGACATCTCATGCACATTGAAAAGGCTTTGATTTGAGTCATGATGGGCTTGGGTCAAGTTGTGCATTATAAAATGGAAACTCTATATATACCTCATAACAATTCAATTGATGTAGTGGCACAATATTTGTAGACTAGACACTTGTCATACAACATGCTCAAATCAAATCATGATAATCAAAATGGAAAGCAAATTGGCCCATTTAGTGTAGTTCTTATGAATTTCTTTTTTTTTCTTTTTTTTTTGGCAAATTATACTTTATCCTTTAATGTGATCAATGGAGTTTTATTGTCTCTCCTAAATTAATTAGTGTTACAGAGGGTTTTAATTAAATTTTTATTGCATTCAACATGATATTTTTGCAACTAAAATTCATGATAATTTGACTTTAATATCACTTGTATGACAGAGTTTTACTATTTCTCCTAAAACTAGTTTGAATTGGAGAAGATTTTACTTATGTCTTTTATGGCATATTTTTATTTTGTGATGATATTTTTTTGACTCAAATCAATGACAACCTATCAAAACCAACAAAAACTAAGAAAAAAAAATTAAGAAAAAAAATTTAAAATTTTAAAACTCTCTTACAACTTGACTTACAATGATATGATATGACAAATTTCAATTTTTAATTTGTCACAAGTTTGACTATATAAAATCATATTCTCTTGTCATATCAATATAGATAAATTTTGTTATATAAGGTCTTGGATGGAAGCTTTGTTTTTTAGTCAAAAAACATTAGTGGTCGTTTGGAAGTGACTAATATAGTCAATTTTTTTGTGTTTGAACTTTTTTAGCCTCCTTTGATTTTTGTTTTGAATTTTTTTGACTTTTGTAAAAGAAAAAATATAATGATTATGGATAAAAAGTAATATTTTGTCTGATTACCTTATATAACATATTTTCTCTTTTTGCACTTTTTTAGCTCCAATAGCAAAACCAAATGAGGGCTTATTAAAAATATTAATTTCTAAATACCTCCTAAATTATGAGTATCTAACATTTTTTTCAAGGATTAAATTGAAAGTCAAAGAAATCTCAGCCGCCCATCTAAATCCAGAACCTTCCAATACGGCGACGTACAACATTCTCTCTGCCAATGAAACGCGTGGACACACGATCCTAGTCAAAACATGCGATTTTTTCTTTCATCAATGCAGGGGCTAGAGTGTTGAATTATGTGTGTGAATATTTTATTTTATTTTTCTTCTTCTTTTAGCTTGAATAATGTCATCATCTCTCTTGTAATTTTATTATTTAAAATTTAAATAAAATTAAAACATGAGAGTTCAGTGAAATTTAAGTAAAAATTTGAAAGTAGAAAGTATAATTTTTTTCTATAATTTCCTTCCCTAATATTCTTAAAATGTGTTCACATAACCGAGATAAGTACTTTTGGTCTAAATTTTATACGATGAGTGAACAAAGATCACGTTAAAATACAAGTTAAATTTTGAAAACTAAATTATTATAATTAGAAGTGGGATTAAAATGAATTTCAAGTGGAAATTAGAGGATGAAATTTTAAATTTACCCTAAAAAGTCATATTAGTAAATAAATAGTATTTTTTTTAATATTAGTTTCAAGATTAATCACTTTTTTTTTTCTTTTTCTTTTTCTTTTTTTTGAGATAAATACTGCATAGGTTACAGTGTGAATTTTTTTTTTTTTTTTTAAAAATTTTTTTTTTAACCCTAACATTAAGACTGACAAAATCAATTGAATATTATAGCACCCCACTTTTAAGACCAAGTCCGTTTGCTCAGTCCCTAAAAATATTATCGCAACTTGACCCTCCTTCCATCTCTAAATTCAAAGAGGCCTTGAAATACAAATATTAATAATTTAAGAATTTTATTAATGTGTTGTTTAAGGATTAAGGCCTCATTTGGGAACTCTCATTTTTAGCCAAAAAGTCAAAAAGTTATTAAATTAGTCAAAAAGTCAACAACCTATATCAAAAAGTCAAAGATTCTCTTTTTTCTCTACTTTTTGCACATCTTTTCGTAAAAAGTCAAAAAGTCATCCCAAACATATTAATTTTTTTTAGCTCATATTTTAGCCAAATAACCAAAAAGTTACTAAATTAGCTTGTTCCCAAACGAGGTCTAAGTGTTTAAAACAAAGGAAATGCACTCTACCATAAATTGGCGTAATTTTATCACAAAATTTTGTAATATCAATCACAAAATACATAATCTCGACACAAATTGACATAACAAAAACTATCGTAACCAATCCACAAATTTTTGTAGCATCAATCACAAAATTTTAAACATTTTGTTAAGCTAATTTATGGTGAGGTTACGCATTTTGTAATTAATATTACACTAATTTATGATAAAATTACGGTAATATGTGGTAGGATACATATAATGAATTTGTTTATGAATTAATTAACTAAGATTCAATTCTCTTTAACGTTAGTATGAGTAAATTTGAAGGTAATATTTAAATTTTTTCCAACAACACTCTACGACAACATTTGTCTAGCTCCATAAGTAATAAGGGTCGCCTCATAAAATTATATTTGCCTGAGAAAAATGGCATAAGACTAAGAATTTCATGGACTATGAATCCCCTTACAAAGTGGGATTAACAATCTCGAACCATGTTTGTTTTAGCTCTATGTAGGTAATAAATATGGAATTACTAATCCAATTCCATAAAAATATTATTTTGCTTCTATTTTAAAAGATTTTTGTATAATTTTATAAATTTAATATCAACCAATTATACAAATAAATATAATTTATCTTAAGTTTCAAATTTAATAATATCATATTAATAATCTTATCACACAAAAGTCAAAGTGATACCTTCTTAGCAGTTAGAAGAATGCAAAGTAAAGAATGTGGAAAGTTTTGTCTCACCAACTTCAATTTACTCTCCGTGACTGTATTTACCACTTTCTTTATCACAATTTTTATCAATTACTATGATAATCTACTTAGGTTTAATGGTTTGATCAAAGAGCAAGTTTATATGCACATAAATTAAATATATAATGAAATACAACCCTCTCATAAGGGTGGGACCCATATATATTGGATCCACATATGGTACTCACCCTTTGCAAGAAAGTTTCGTTCTGTGTTTGTTTTTTGCATTGTTGGATAAATTGTCAATAGATTCTAATTGTTAGATTTAATTCTCATCAAATCCTATTGAAAATAAGTTATAGTAAAATAATTGATAAAAATAATTTTTTATAACGATTTTTTACATATGTCGCTCAAAATTGACAATTGGTGACTTTTTTCATGGTTTTTATAAATTATCGCTAAAACTTACAATTAGTGACTTTTTTTATGACGAATTTTTTAAACTGTCATCGAAAGTTTAAAATTAGTGACTTTTTTTGTAACGATTTTTTTAAACTGTCAATAAAACTTATAATTAGTGATTTTTTTGTGACAATTTTTAAACCATCATAAAAAATTAACTATTAATGACATTTTTTAATAGTGTTTAATGAAAAATATTATTAATTATTATAAGACCTACTAAACAATAAATCTGCCTATTAAGGCCTAAACATAAGCTCTTAACATTACTGTTGATATCAAAACCAAACCATTATAAAATGTGAGTGTTCTCAAGTGATATTGTAAACTTCTTTTAGTCTTCTGTTGGACTATTTGCAATGATATTTACTATTTCGGATTAACATTTGCTTAATTCTTGGATTCAAAAATTAATTGAAGTTGGTGGCCATTGGCATTGTGTTTTCCATGGCAATAGCTACAAATCTCTATTCATTCAAATAATCTACTTATAT